ACCAACTGAAGCAGAGACAACAACAAAACCAACTGAAGCAGAGACAACAACAAAACCAACTGAAGCAGAGACAACAACAAAACCAACTGAAGCAGAGACAACAAAAAAACCAATCGAAACAGAGACAAAAACAAAAGTAACCGTGGAAGAAACAAAAAAACCAATCGAAACAGAGACAAAAACAAAAGTAACCGTGGAAGAAACAAAAAAATCAATCGAGACAGAGACAGCAACAAAAGAAATTAAGGAACCCACTCCAGTTACCGCTGAAACCACCACTGCTGAATCAACGAAACCTTCTGAACCAGAACCAAAACCAACAACTGACGCCACTACTACAACCACAGGTGAAGAGCAAAACCCACCAGCTAAAGATACTGTTAACGTTATAAAAGCTGATGATAAAACACTTCCCGATACTCCAGTAGGAGAAGAAGTCAAAGCTAAAGTTGATGGTGATGGTGAAAGTTCTGATAGAGGGGCTTCTAATGGTAAGAAAAATAATAGAAAAAGTTTTCTTGTTAGAGTCAAAAGTTTCTTTGGTGGTAGTAATAAAAAACCCTCATAAATTTTCTTATATATATACTATTTAATACTACTAATTAATTAATTATCAAAAAAAAAAAATGTATTTTCATTAATAATTTAATTTTTTTATTTTCCTTCCTAATTAATATTTTATTATTATTTTATTAACTTATATTTATTTTTTGTTTTATGTCTTATTTTTGTTGTTGTCTCTGCTTCAGTTGGTTTTGTTGTTGTCTCTGCTTCAGTTGGTTTTGTTTTCTCTTCCTCGGTTGGTTTTGTTGTTACTTCCTCAGTTGGTTTTGCTTCGTCTTTCAAGATTTTAGGAATGTGATCATTACTGGAAGATGTTTGGTCTGCAGTAGTAAGAGTAGAGTTTTCCTGAGGTGTTAATGCTTCTACAGTTGCGACAACTGTTGCTGCTGTTGTTGCTAGGTCAGTCATTTTTTAATTTTTTTGTGAAAAAAATATTAATTTTATTAAAGAAGAAAGATACGGAGAGAATTAAAAAATTGTGTAGTTTTTTAAATAGAATAATTTAATTGAGAGGCTGGAATTTGAAGGAATAATAATTTGAAGGAATAATTTGAAAATAGCAAGCAAGTAGTAAAGGAAATTTCCAAAAAAAAAAATATTTCCATAAAATAATTAAATTAATTAAATAAAAAAAAATTTTTTTTTTTGAGAAACTTTAAAATGTATTCGTGTTTTTTGTGCTTGGTTATGTATATTGGCGCATGTGGCAATTTCAAAAAAACAATTGTAACTTAAAGAAGGCCAATTGTGTTGGTAAATGTATTACATATTTTTTTGTGCGTATTCAAGTTTCATAACTTGTACAA